TTAGCAGACGGACATCTCGCCTGCTCCATAAACGATGCAAGTTGGTAAAGCCAGTCAAGCATTTTGTATGCGTGTTAAGATCTCGTCAGCCACCTGAAATGATTTGACTGGCGAGATAAGTGAAGCAGTCGACATGCTCATCTACTTCACGGCGAGTGTACCTATCTTTCCGAGTTCTTGCTGTCCTGTTTAGTCGCACAGGGCACAAGAGACTGTCTACCGGGATCCAATCTAAGAGAAGTAGTTCTGCCCTAGGACTCAATACTATAGCTACACCGGCAAGGCCATGAGAATTAGCAGCAGGACTTCCAGATAAATCGAGTATAAACCGAGGTAGCTCTTCATTTTGACATGGTGAGGTCAAATAAATCACTGTACTCGGACCTCTTATGCGCGTTTTGAAGACGCAGCACACACTGATAGCATGAGATTTCAGAGCTTAAGTAATGAAGCCTGTTGTCCTATTTGGCCCAGGATTCGAACATTGAAAGCTCTTACTTGTAGTTCAGAGTGTGGTATCAAGAGACCAGGAATCACGTTTCGTGTGCTCAAATCGTCTGTATCAGCGGGGCGAGGTAATAATGGAATGTGAGGAGGTTCGGTCATAGAGGTGAGAGGGTTAATAAAAGGCATGGGAAGGATTTTATGGTGACCGGTTTGGTTTCGTGAGCATTTATAAGTATGAGGGCTGATGTCACTTCCCGGCTACTCACACCATGGAAGGGTGTTTCTTGATGAACCTGGAAAGGAAATCGGATTAGCGTTGGTCTTGGAGACCTGGTAGCATGGCCACAGAACCAAAAGCCTGTCTCGCATGGCCTTTATGAAGAAAGTTGACGTGTTAGCTTTGCTCTTCGAATGGATTTACCGTAGGAGTTGGAAATCTGTGGTGTAAGATTAGTTGTGACATTTTTAGGGTCGACCTTTTCTAATCTATTCTTCCTTTGTGAGAATGAAGCATCGATACAGGTGATGGTTGCTAGAGAGAAACACCTTCCTGCTGTCACACCCCTCTACATATGGCAGTACGACTTCGTCCTCAGACCTTGAGTAGCTGCGTTTAGTCTCTCTGTTCTACGATCAACCTGCCTGGCATGGTAGAACCTACAGGAACATACATTACAGCCGAGATAGCTCGGTGGGGTGACCACGATAGGTAAGCTCGACCACCACATCAAGGTAGCTGGTATCAATCACTCTGGTTGACGTTGAGATAGATATCCTGTAGTCCTGATGGGACGATCTGGTTTGGGAAACTCATATAGTCAAAAACGGACCAAGAAAAAATATGCTCCGGAGAAATCCGCGGCTTCCTGTCGATTATCTCCATCAGTGACTGATGACAGTATAGTTTGTCGTCATGTCGGTTTTGATGGTAGCCATGTTAAACAATGTTTCTTCTTATGTTGAAAGCCGTGTCTGCTAAAGGCAGTCAGTTATTTGTTTTCAGTTGCAACGGACGGTCACCGTTATTTGTTCATAAGTTGAAACGCCGAAAGGCCCACCAAAGTGTCTTTCACTTCGGTTTTCCCTACCTACTTAGGTGTGATGGTTATCTTCTTTTATTATAAGGTCTAAGCCTTTTGGCTTTGGAAGGCCATAAACGTATTTTTACATCAATCTTTTTCTTCTTCCAAACTACGGTATGGCAATATGAACTTATGTACATACGTACGAAGTTCTACGTTGCAACTGACTGACTCTTCCAAACTGCACTTGGTTGGAGCGCATGCAGAGACTTTAAGAATGCAACGGCGTTTATCTTTGTTGTGTCGGGTTCATACGGTACTTTTTAGATGGACAATGTGCTAGCAAACATCCAGCCCAGGAAACCTCATCTTCCTCTTCGGATTGTTTGCATACCTAAAGCATCGAGGCTACGAGAAGCAACAGCCAAGATACACGACTAGTGAGTCATCTTGGTCTTCCATATTGATTGGATGAAGCCAAGTCATTGATCACGGTTGTCAAGGCAAAGTGGCTTGGAGTACGACTTCAGGTGACCAAGAATGGCACTTCATCAATTGGAAAAGTTTTGATGATAAGGATAAAAGAAATATTAGAAAGCGAAGATAGGATATGATCGTATAAAAGACGGTATCATATATTGTTAAGAGTGTGGGTGGTTGTCACTTCTCATTTGTCTACATCGTGGAAGAATATTTCTGGTAGGGAGATATGAAAAGGAAACTGGGTCAGTAATAGTCTTAGCAATCTAGAAGTGACTGTAGAGCTCTAACGCCAACTGCTTAAAGTCGGTTACGCACGACCTTTTTATGGGCAGTCTTTGATATCTCAGCACTATGCCTTAAATACCTTCCCTTCGGACACAGAAATCTGTGGGTCATGGTAAAGTGTAGTACTTGAGTACCGATTTTTCTTAACCTCTTACTTCCATTGTGAGAAGGCGTGATTTCCAGAAATCTTGGCTCTTTGAGTGAAACATCTTGTTGCCACTACACCCAAGTAAAGATTGCAATACAACTTCGCCGTCGCACCTTGAGTAGGTGCTTCAATTTCATCACCCTCCAACGGAAGTATCTGACATAGTTAAATCTAAAAAAGAGCCCTCCCCTCAATATTCGCACTGTTTGGTCACGAAAAGCGAGTCAGGTTACCATATTGTGGCAGCAGTTACGATGATGACTTATTGTCACGACAGTCACTTCCTTGTTTGATAACATATAGAGCTGAGTCTATGCTATTGAGGATTCGTAAAGTTCGCCAAACATTCAGTAGTAGTTTCCAGTGACTTTTCAAGTTGTATCAGTTAATGATAGAACTTGACTTCAAAATGATTATTTGGTTTCTCATTGTAACAAGAGGGATTATCTTACTGTATGAACAGGAATTTATGCTGCTATTGCGAACTATTAGCCGGTACATATAATATGCTGATCAAGTGCACACATCAATTATGGCTATTTAATTCCAGACTATTTTGAGCGTGATTACACGTTTAAAAATATTCAGCACATAAGGTAACATACTAAATTAAATCTCATTATTATTGTTTTTCTATGTCACTCGAATGTTTAAAAATCAATTATTCAATCGATAGTCTAGTGCGTGATGTGACATTTTTACTTGGACATAAACTACATTTAAAAGCACAAAATAAATCCATAAAAACGTATCGCTAACATTTGAATAATTTATTCGAATAATAAACTGACAAGTTAGTGCATAGTCGGCTAAGTCAACTTTACAGTCGTTTATTTTAAAGTGAATAATTAGGAAAGGTTATATTTTGACCGTATTAATTTACTGTTTACATTTGAACAGTCATACTTAATTTTGGTTATGAATATAATCATTAAAATGTTAAGATGAATTTGTCAATGATTTGTTTGTCAGTGTGTTTATATCTACTAAACTACTTTTATGAAGGTGCATATAATAGCCTTACTCGTAAGCCCCCTCTTTATAAGATATACTTTTTCATGGTTAAAAGAAGTTATCAAATCTGTAAACAGCGTCATGATTTCTATTATGGAAAATAGAGTAATGTTTCTCGATGTATACCATATGTCGAATATTTCAATAAACAGGAAAAAAAATCTCCACTGTATAGGAATTACCATCGAATATAACTAAACGACATCTTACTTATTGGTTCAAATGAAATGAAATCATCTTATTCATGATTAGATTGATCATTTCAGTCATGTTGCTCACAAATCCCGTTTCAAGTTTTCGGTTTAGAACACTAATTAATGCATCTTGAACCGTAGGGAATAGGCCTTATTATTAATTCTGTTAATTATTTATGAATTCTTATTGATGATAGAACCTGAAGATAAAAGCTATGAATAGTTTTAATTATTTTCTAAACAAGATTTTACTAACTTATTAAAAGTTATTTTTAATATTTAAACTACTTCACTCGACAAGTATCATTGTAAATTGATAGGTACTTCCCAACAATAGAGATTACTGAAATTTACACAGCTAAGTTCACTGAATTATACCTAATGTAACTTTATAAACATCTGCCTTGAAGATTCTTCCTGTTTAGTTAGAATATTTGCTTTTAATTAATCAAAACTAGCTATGAATATAAAAGAAAGGTGCAAAACCTTCAGTGATTATATTAATTTCGTATAACTTTATATTACTTCAATACATAAATACATTGTGAAAATTAGAACAACACATATAAGCGAACAATATTGTTTTCGATTAGATCGTCATCAGGCTTTACTCTAATATGCATGAAAATGTTAAAACCAATCAAGGCAATTTGAGTGATAATCACAATGAAATGTAAAAGGCAAAAGTACAAGTGGATAGTAGGAAGATAGGTGAACCGATAGTAGTAGGAAAATTTGTAAAATATGATAACTAAAGAAGGTCAAAGGTGTTATCATATTTTACAAATTTTCCTACTACTATCGGTTCACCTATCTTCCTACTATCCACTTGTACTTTTGCATTTTTCATTTTAATTGTGATTATCACTCAAATTGCCTTGATTGGTTTAACATTTTCATGCATAAATATTCATGCATATTAGAGTAAAGCAGCCTGATGACGATCTAATCGAAAACAATATTGTTCGCTTATATGTGTTGTTCTAACATAAATACATGTTTACAGTTTAGTCTAATTTTAAACCGACGTTCATTGATTTATACAAATACAATTACTGTCGATTTTAAATAAAATCATTTTCGATGACTGCAAATAAACAATTCAATTATAAATTTATATTTCTATTTTTATTCATTCTGAATGCTTCAATGAATAAATAAATTTTAATTTGGATTTACTAAATTATTTTATCAACTGAAATGTGTATTCATTCACAATGGCAATCAATTTTTTTTATTTCACTAATTTCTCGTAATTATTTTAAATTGACATTTTGTTTGTAATTTGTTTATTGAATGATGAAAATATTTATGTATTATAGACATCTATTCTATTTATCTGTAGAATTAAGTTTGTGTGAATATTTCACATTCTTTACTGATTGATTTATTGATTTTTTTTAACAGGAAGATCCGCTGGAACCTGCACTTCGACTGATTCCAGGCTTTTTCGGTACAGTAGTACTGGTCAATAGTTTTTCAATATTTTATGAAGGACCTCCAAGTATGTTAGTTGTAAATTGTCAGTGATTTTGGCAGATTTCATTATAGAACTTGTTTGATGATAGGTTTCTGTATATTTGATTTAAAATTAACATTTTCATTTCAATTGTAGATTTGTTTAAAGTGTGTATTTAAGTATTGATGTCTATGCATACAATTCGATTGTGGTGTTGACGCATAAGATGTATATATTCAGAATAATGTACAAATCTGAAATTTCATTAATTAATATAATTCTCAACTATTTGATAATGTTGACTGTAATACACGCAAAATGTTTATTAGCAAATCAATCAGTGTAGAATGTTCTGGTTAGCCTAATTTTTATTGTCATTATGATTACCATAATTGTGATGTTTGTAGTGGTTGTTTGTTTTAGTTCAATTAGGAGTATTGGATTGTTTAGCTGTGAAACTGATGAGAATAGGCTTGTTTTTATGTAAATATCATATCGTCCACAGAAGTGAGTGTGTATCTGAACTCAGTAGCTAAGTGGATAACAGGTCCAGCTTTTGATGCAAACGGTAGTGGGTTCGAGTCATGCAGGAAAACAATGTACACTGAGATTCAGGTATATTCTAGCTGATGACTGTAAGATTGGATGAAATCCACATTCTCGTCTCCATTGTTAGTTAAGATTGATTTCTTCTATGTATTGACAATCGAGGATATTGTTTTTATGACATGCCATCAATCAATAAAATTCATTTGAATAATGAAAAGTTATCATTGATTAAAATGCGAGTTCGCAATTAATCTGTATTGTATTAATAGTTAGTTATGTGTAAAATATTGAATCTGTTAAAAGAGGTCACGATGCTTTTAAATACTTATCTGTTTTCCATAATGTCATCAGTCAAAATGAATTGAATTTCAGTTTACTGATGCTTCCATAGACTATTGATTAGAATATAATTTTTAACCAAAAAATTTATATATGTATACTTATATTAAAATTACAGTTTCGTAGTTTCAATCTGTCGTCGATTTTTTTTTTTAAGAAAAAAAATCATTTCCACTTACTTTTTACCGTTATTTGTTGTGTTTTTTTCTTGGTTCCAGTTTACAAAGTAAAAACACATTATATCTGTATTGTGTTTGTTTACTTTTGTTGAATAATAATAATAATTACCTTTTTTTCTTTAATAAATCTAACAATAATGTAATTTCATGTCTACAATTCAAATGTAATTTGTTCTATTATGATTTATCATAGATTTTTTTTGACATATTTATTTGTTCATAATATATTTGGATATTATTATTGCATAAGTTATAAGTAACTAACTTCAATGATATTGACTAATATTAATAATAGTGAGACATTCGTTTGTCGCAAAAACAAAAGACATGGATAAGAATTGATTGACTCTGAAATTTTCATTGTTTGACAAAGAATTCTCCAAAAAAAATAACCCATTTCACTTTATTGATTTAATAACCTGTATAATGTTTTTTCTAATAAATATTTGGTAGGAGAATTCGAAATTGTGGTGGTGTTTCGTTCTCTGGGCTGGGTGTTTTGGTTGTGGAGCGGAAGAGAGACTACAATTAACTAACAGCATAACAACGAAAAGCCTTAAAGAAACATAGAACCAGGGAAAATATAGTCATAGTTCCAGCGAACAAAGGACGAACTACAGTAATTATAGTCAAGGAAGAACATATCAGGAAAGCTGAGGAACTACTTGAGGGCAGAAGGGTATATAAACCAATCTACAGAAACTCAATAAAAATGTTGGACAACCAAATCTCAAGGACTCTAAACAGGCTTGTCAAAGCAGGACAAATATCATCCAAGATCAGTGGAGAATTAAATCCAGTGGACCTGTAATTGCACAATTCTACAATAGGCCGAAATTACACAAACCCAACATTGCACTACGTTCAATTGTATCTCTATCTGGAACTCTGGCCTCCAACTAATCAAGAAAAATTTGAAGGATATTGAAACACCTGTCGGATTCCTCCAACTAATCTATTAAGACTCCCACACAATTCTTGGGTAAACACAAGGGTATTCAGATCGAAAACGACGAAATGGTGATATCCTTCGACGTTATAGACAGCTTTATTCACCTCAATAGAACCATACTTAGCCAAAGAAACTCTTTCCCTGCTCCTCACCAGCTACACGAATCTCCAAGAATATACGAGATCTCAAAGTCAAAGTCTGCTAAAACTCATCGATCTATGTTTAACAACGTATTTCCAATTGAACAAAAGAATCTACGAACAGATAAAAGGAAAACCATTCTGATCACCAACATCAAGACTTGTCGCGGAAGCTTTGATGCAGAGACTGGAAGCGTCGATTCTGCCAGTGACCAAAGCAAAAATGTGAGTTCGCTATGTAGACGACACATTCGTCAATATTAAAAGGAAAGCGTTGGAGAACATCTACGATCGGATCAACAACATCTTTGACGACATAAAATTCACAGTGGCAAAGGAATCAAACAACGAACTATCATTCCTGAGTATACTATTCACCATGACTGACATAAGGAAACTGGGCACTCAAGCATTGCGTAAGCAAACTCAAACAGACGTAATTCTCAACTACAGCAGCAACAGCTCATAAAATCAACTGCAAAGAAACTTTATTCATGAGAGTGAAGACACACAGCAGCACACTTGAAGCACTAAAAACGAGGAAAAACATCTTGTGACTATCTTCCACGCAACTTCATCAGAAAACATCAACCGAAATCGTCAACAGAAGCGAAATCAAGTACGGGAACCAATAGGCAGATCATCCTACCATACATAAGACACATATCGGGGTATACAGCACGACTACTGAAACCATTTGGAATAGGTGTAGCACACAAACCTACAGAATCGCTTCAATCAACCTTACACCAACAAAATAAATTGCTCAGACTTTGAAAAACACTACAGAAGACAAAGTGCACAGCGTTTTCAGCTTCGTTTACGTGAACATCAATTATCAGTCAAAAGCCACGATATCTCTTCACTTATATTAATACATACAGACAACTTTGGACATACATTAGGTTGGAACAATGTTGAAATACTGGATCGGGGAAGCACAAAGAAAGCTAGAGAATTTTCAGGAGCTTGGCACTCAGGTCAATCATCATTTTACAAACACACCTGCATTTACCCAATCAGAAAAATTATAGGTAAACATAGGATCAAGGAAATGATCAAAGTGGGATACATTCAAAATATAGGTGAGAACAATGACACGCTTAAGGCCAATAGCAAACATTCAAGATCGAGGTTGACAGAACAAGCTACGGGTCAAATGTGAAGAAATTCGAATGCTTCACTTCTATCTGAAGTTTGTCCTGTTGATGTTGTTCAGAAGAACAGTGAAAGCTCCACTACCAAAACATCCAGCTCAGAGAACGAAACATCACCACAATCATCCACCTGAGCTGCATCTCGAGAATTCGAAATATATATATATATATATATATATATATATATATATATATATATATATATATATATATATGTAGTGTGAAGTTGTGATTAATACTGGTTTTTAAATTATAAAACTGTTTATGATTTAACGTATTGTTAACAATCATATATTGCATATACGAAGTCTCGATTAAAATTAATATCCACATAAACATTGTATAAATATATTCATTTTAATATTTCAATTAACTTTATTTCATATCAATATTCTGTATTTTTCATAGTAATTAATTATATATTTCCTATTTAAATTACTTTAATAACTGTTTCTCCTTATCTCCAATAATTTAATTGTTCATGTGACAATAATATTGATATTCCAAATAATTATCCATCATTATATATGTTATGTAATTAATTACTTTATAATTTGTGTTGTATATATTTCAATCTCTAATCTACTGCCATTTACGTAAATATTTAAATTATCAGTTAATTCTATCTGAAACATACATTTTCATACTGTATATATTTTGTTGTTCTTTTCAGTGCTGAAATTCGATAAAATACCTCTTTATGGAGTATTTATACTTAGTTGTGGCTTAGGTATTATCACTGTTCTACTTGTAAAGTTTATATGGGTACCTATTGTTCGTCGACACATTTTAAGTAAGTCATTTACCTGATAATCTTATTCATTCTGTTTTGACTACAAGATTTAGTCTACTGCGTAAATTGATAGATTTGATGTGTGTATTTGTTTCTGTATGTCAGTCAATAACTGCAATCAATGTGGTCTGTACTACTGAAGAGTCATGGTGTTTAGGAAACGTCTCTCTCATGAACTCTGCATATTTGGTATCGGTCTCAACAAAATAGTATGATGAGAAACATTTTCTTGAAAGGTTTTTTTACCACAGATAAACGTTTAAGCTTTTTGACAATTGTAAACAATAATCACTTAATTTTCTGATTAAATAATTGGACTAACGAGGCTGGAAATTTTATTTTTAGGCTGAGTGACTTCACATTCACTTACATCATTAACTGATAAACAGATAAACTAAAGGAAATCGAATCTCATCTGATTTCATACGATTCAAATAAGAAACTGTTTCTACATGCGTTTACTGCACTATTTATTGTAACAAGTGATGTCCGACATACTCATATGCATAATCTCACGTGGATTTAAGTCTTTCAGTGGATTACGTCTCATTCATTGAAGACGAAAGCACTTTCTGACCACTGTAAAAGTAATTTCATATAAATATTCTGTTTAAAACTAATTGGTTAAAAGATACCATCAATATTACTAACTGAATATGCCATTGGACTACATCGAAAAACTATTCAAAATGAATATTAGTCCATTTGAACAAACTGATATTTGTCTTAAAAGAAAAGCAACAAAATTCTGTTTTTCGACTGATTAGTATCACCGACAAAATAAAAATAGATACAACAAAACAAATATGTAATCCTTACTAAAGTCAAAGCATTAATGAGTCTTTAGCTAAAACAACATCGAGATAAAAACATCCACAATGACCGACTAACTGACTATGACTGCACACCAAAAATTAAGGTAAATGAATTGAGTGGGTATCAACGATTCATAAAATAACCAAACTAAGACTTTCGAAATAAATGACAACAGGATGTTTAAAGATCAGTGGATAGAGGTGACATGTGACACAAATAACAGCTTATCACAGTAGTACAGATTTGCTTATACTATAATTTTACTAAAATATAAAATATAATAACTACATTTGTGTAACCAGCAATAAGAAGAAAATATTTATTAGCATCGATAACAGAACTAGTTCCACTCTTTTGAAAAATACCTGTAAGTGTATATTATGAGTGTTGAGGATGTTAGGTCCCCAAAACTCGCTGGATAAATATCTTTATTTTGGATTTATTTCATGGACCGATCAGTTGACCTTGAGACACATTTCCCACCAGGAAAATCCTTGGTTTTGATTGGTTGCTGTGTCATTTTAGTATGCTATTTTTGTGACTGTCCCAAGGACGTCTCTATAGAGTATAAATAAACGCGATTTGAGTGCTTGGATTGATTGTGTGCTGGCTGGGTGTTTGTAGAATACTCTACGCTATATCAAGACTTCTTGCTAGTACAATTGGGTCAAGGGATCCGAGTAGCCTACCTGGACGCTGGTTCATTGTTTTGTTCTTGTTATTCGACTAAGGTGAACCCGTAAATGTTTCAAGCACACCTAAAGACGAGCATAACAATAAGGCATCAAAATTTGAAAATTTAATTGAAAAACATAGTAGTATTGACCGATATCCTAATGATAATGACCCATGAAATCCGATGCAATGCAGTTCATCAATAATTAAAAACTTACTTTACTGAGCACCAGAACACGCAATAGGAAAAATACTCCAATAGATGCCAAACCACTTAGAACAGGTGAGAGAAACCATGATCCAACTAAATGAAAATGAATAAAACAAAATAACAATAAATGAATAAACGTTGTTTATATTAAAACCAATGATTATTACAAGTGATGTTGGCTTACTGATACATAAAATGTGACATGATAATTATTGAGCAAACAATTGGTTCATGAAGGATAATTGAAAATCAATAAACAGTTTCATAGACTGAATATCGGGTAGTCGGCTACAACGTAGAACGTCCTACATACGTACATACTTAAGTTCAAGTTGCCATATCACATTAGCGTAGAGATGCAATTGTCAATACAAATCTCATAGTGGTAGAGGCAGTAGAAGTGTGGTGCGAGCTACTTATAAGTAGTATATGACGTGAGTGTCAACGTAATGTCTGGCAGCAGAAGATGGGGGAAGATCAAGAAAGGAAGAGTTAAAACACAATGGAACTTGTATGAAACGCATGAATAGTGACAATGGATTGATGTTTTGCAACAGGAACAGGCCATTCCGATATGATGAACTGATATTTTGCAAATTAACGATTTACGATATGGTTTTCCGATTATATTGAATAACTCTGTAATTTTCGTTAATTACAATCCGGTCGCCCCACCTGTGTTCTCGTTCACTACAGAACTACTAGCAGTAATCAGAAAGATCACGGTTCGAAGATATTACTGAAGAAATATAATCCAGTGGAATAAATTTGAAAAGAGAAAAATGAAGGTCAATAGGAATTCGGAAGATGAGAATTCGAGAAAACAAAAATGGATGCATCTGCGCCAATGCAATCGATTTTGAGCCATGTCATTCAAAGTCTCTAACCATCGGTTACTATTGTCTCACGGACTCCAACCTGGTAGTATAAACTGACCAACATGACTCAGCCAACTTTTCAATGACTTCATTGATTTGTGTCATGTTTCCTCGAGCCTTCTGTATGCGTGTTGAGATCTCGTCAGACACCAGGTCATCAGCACTGATTAGACTGGCGAGATAAGTGAAGCGGCCAACACTCTCAACTACTTCACTCCGTATCACTAATTGAGGTGACGATGCAAGCCAATCCTATAACAACATGTTGAACATGCTTGCTTTGTTGCTGAGGGTAGTTCGACATATTCTAAGTCAACCAGTAAATCTTCTGGTAGAAGTTCCACTCTTGGAAAATCAGACGAAGATGATGTTATGTCCGAAAGCAGGTCTTTCACGAAATTAAACAAGAACGGACAGAATGGACATCCTTGACAGATATCATTTGAAGTAAACAATTCCTATGACAATTCGCCATAAGCTTTAGCTCGACCTGTAGTGTCCGAGTAAAGAGCTTATTTAGGGTTTTGTACTTCAGTTGTACTCTTTCCATTTACTTATACTGTCATAGAACTGAACGATCAACAGAGTCGAAGGCCTCCGTAAGGTAGAGAAATACAACTATCTTGAGACGTTTAGAACGTGTGTACTCCAATCATTTGTATCAGCGGGGCGAGATGATGAGGGAAAGTTAGGAGGTTCGGTCATGTAGGTGAGAGGATATTTTAAAAGGCATGTAAATAATTTGATGGTGACCTTACTGCTGTCACACTCCTCTACATTTAGCAGAATGACTTAACTCACGGACCTTGAGTTGCTGCATTTTGTCTTGCCATTCTCTAATCGACCTCCCTTGCATGGTTGATCCTATAGGAACAAATGTTCTTGCCAATGTAGTTCGGTGGGGTGATCACGATAAGTAAGCACGATCACCACATCAAGATAGCAGCTATAGTGGGAAAACTGTGTAGCTTAGACTAGTGAAGTTCAGTGATTTTGAGTGTTATGCACTATGGGGTCGCTCAATATCGTGGCTTGATTGAAGTAAGACGTATAGTTGAATGCTGGATCAGTGGCCTAGAGTTCAGATGTTCTTTCGCGAGTTTGAAGGTCTTGATATCGATTCCAGAGAGCATAGATCGTGACGATTTTTCTCCGAGTTCAGGAGAAAAATCGCGACCAGTGTAATCCAACCCCGTTTGGATGTAAAGTAGTGCTCACCAAAGATAGTGGATGCAGTCGCACAAGACCGTGGATTAAACGAAGTTTGAGATTAAAATCGTTAGATGCCGACCTAGTTGTCTGGAGGTTAAGCGTATGCGTATGAGACCGAAGGTACTAGATTCTAATCCTGCGAGTAGTAGGAGTCATAGATGCCCACAGCTAGTGAGTGCCATACTAGGAGGAAACGATCATCCAGTGCACCCAGGTTTCTAAAGGTGGTCGGTTCATGTTTTTGTTGAAGTTCAACAATATCCACTACCCTATAATGATAATACCAAACGAATTATACCATAGGATTATTGCTTTTACAACTCGACTTCTGTTTTTGAACTTTTCGCCTTTATCTTTTTTGATTAAGATAATATTCATTTTACCTTTCACGATCAATAAAATGCATACATACGTTTTATATATCTTAATTGGTCATTAATAAACTGGATGATTTAAAATATTGCAGTAGTGTGATTCTGTCTCTGGATTATATCATTTAACTTTGATCATTGACTGAAGTCACGTATGTCACGTGACTGTTATGAATAAGCACCTCATTGATTGAATGTTTTTTAGAGAAGTGTGACAGGAATATATAAACTGAACTCTACCTTTGCATCAAGCAGTATTCATATATAAACTAACAAATGAATAATTAAATCTAGGTGCAACTCAGGAATACTCTGTATAAATAATTAAATACGTTTCGAAGAAAACACGTAATTATCAAACAATACAGTCGATTGAGATTAAATGTTACTCAAGAATAGTTTGATTTGAGACTAGGATTATAAGGTTTTAGGTGATAACGGATATCATCTTTCATTTGCCTGTGTTCTTCTGACGACAATCCATACTATAAGTAATGAATTTTTATCGATGTATTTTTCACTTGCAGATTGTATGTAATTCTTAAACATATTTGAAAGACAACTCAGCTAATTCCGTCTTCATCTTATTTTATAGCTGGGGAATCCAGTGGACATATTTTAAAAAGTTATTTTTCCCGTAAGAGCAAAAAGAAATCATCTGACACTGTAGACGATAAATATCAGTCTGTGATGGATAGTAAATCTTGCAAACTTTCAATCGGAAAACATGAATCCATTGATATGGACACGTATGCTCCACAAACAGATGGAGAGGCTGTGATTGGATTTCGAAATGTAGATAATAAAGATAAACTTGAACAATTCACCAATGAAAATAATAATGTAATACAGGGAGTGAAAAATCCCAATGAAGTTTCAAGTCGTAAGTGTTTTTGTAAAATAAAATAAAATACATTAATGAAGGTTTTTGTATATTTCCCAAGAATGTGCAACAAGATTCTTGAATATTTTTATGTTTCAAACGTGATAGAGATTATATTTCGATTAATGTGTATATTTACTTAGTAATGCACATTGTTGTAATTAAAGACGTTTGATATCTACTACATCAGTGATTTATGTGAACTTCATTCATTTAAATTTGATCAACTAACTTTACTTTTACGCCTTTTACATCTTGTGAAGCATAGAGAGTGGACCAGGATTCTCCAACCAACTCTATCCTGGGCTTTCCTTTCCAATTATTACCACCTACTATTTATTCTTTTGATGCCTGCCTCCTTGGTCCTCCTCTCCGTCTTTTACCTCAGAGATTCCATATGAGAACTTCTCTTGTTGATTGCTCCACCATGATCCGTTGTGTCGCATGGGTATTAGTTATTACACGGTCGTTGATCTTTACGGAATCCAGCCTGCTGATCTGGCAGATGAGTGTCTACTGAATCGTTCATTCAGTTCAACAATACTCTGGAGAAGACTTTGTTTGGTATGAGAAGTAGAGTGATTTCTCTGTAGTTCTCACACTTGCTGAGATCGCCTTTCTTTGGTATGTTGGTCAGGAGTCCTTCTTCGAAATCTGCTGGTACTTGTTAGTCTTCCCACATTTTGTGGAAGAGTTTGTTTAGTATCATTGCAACTACTGCTGAGTCTGTTTTCAGTGAGTCAGTTAGTATGTTGTTTTCTCCCTCTACTTCTCCACTTTTGATTTGTCTGACGGCCACGTTATTAATGATCTGAAGCCACGTCGGGATTTTTGTCCGTAATGTGGCTACTCGAAATTCTACCGATTGGTCAACCTCAGATATTCCAGTACGACCGCAAATTCTGTTTCGCAAATCCCAATTATATCAGAACATAAATTGTTAGATGAAAATCGTTAATGGGGTCAAAATAGAACCTAGAACTTAACAGGCAGTGCATATTTATACATTTAGGACGACCGCGAATATTGACCGATAGGAAACGAAATCTGAGGAATGTAAAATATATGAAAAGTCTGAAAACATGTGAAAAGTGTGAAGCATACGATTTTACGTTTAATGATAGAATTGGACTTCACAGAATAATTTTTTGGATATGTTTATGAATATACTAACCGTCGGCTCCTTTTCCAGTTTTTGCATCCTCCATCCTATCATTGCTTTTTGTTCTTCTTTGGACAGCATCAGTGTGACTCCTTGAGTGTTGAGCATTTTCTCCTTCGTTACCGAAGTAGAACAGCATCTTCCTTGAAGCTAATTTATTATGTCCAGTATGTGTCTGATTAGTTTCACACATTCCCAGTTCCTCCAGTTTAAATGTCGTCATTTCCACAGCAACTTAAATGGTCCTCTCGATCTCCCATATCGTGCTCACATTCCGTTTACCTATAATAGTTGTTGGATAAAATCAGATTATTGATTAAAACTATATACGAAATTTGTTTAAATTTCTTATTTACTATTAAGAGGTTAATGTTTAGTTGATGGTGACGTTTCCCATCTAATATGAATCATATGCTTTTAGGAAGAGCTTTCCTGTTATGATGTTTAGTTTCTAATGCCAATATTGTTTACATATCACTGAACTGATTAACCAAATATATTAACATAAGGCATTACATAGAGAAATTCTAAGCCATGCTTTCCTCGTTAAATCAGAGTTTGTGTATTTTAATATTTACCTAGTTTAGTAGACTTTGATGAAGTTGTTTTACAATTGTATACGGTATGGTTAATTTGACACACTATCACAGGTGTACGATGTGTATCTGCACTGAGTATATGAAAAGGTGACAATAACATTTCTACTGTCAGTGATTATCTGTATTCTTTTCCCTAAAAAAAAACACTTGTCATGCTTCTTGTAAATTCTGCTGCTGAAGTTACATAAATTTCAAAATATGTTGATATTGTGTACAAAGTATTAAATCTACAGAAAACCTACCAAATCAAGATTACAATAACATAAAACATTGTAGTTTAATGATTGATTATCTTTTGTAAATGAAAATTGTTTTATTTTGATCTGGGATCAATTTCTATTTTATGTTGTGGATTGTCTTATTAGCCTATAGTAAGTTGCAGATCAATCAAATGCACAGATGTGTATGGTTTTATCAATTGACGTGACATACACTGTAAACCACAGGAGTACTTACATACAATGTTTCCGTTTGTACATTTACTTTTCTACTCCTACTAGTAATAATGTTGCTACTTTGAATTCTCTGCAATTGGTCTTGCTGTAATAATGTGGTGTGAAAACGTGAACCAATCTACATATGCGTCAGCCTAAACATTAGAAAGACTGATTGACCTAATATTAAGGACGTGAACGTATTATATTTTGTTGAAGTTTCAACACGGTAGAACAACAGTAGTTTAGATTGATAATTATCAGTTGCCCACTTAAACCTGTTTACTTTTCGAAGCCACGATGATACTTGATACTGTTTACAAATTAGCTGTTTCAATCTAATAGTGTATTTCTAGTCATTCCATAGAATCAACCATTCTGAACTCAATTTCTATAGAATTCACCAACAGTGTATATCTGATTGATATTTTGCTTCAAAATTGCAAACTCTAATGAATTCTTTCAATGTCAATAGCCATTTTTTTTATCGAAGGATATAGTTAAACGCAAAACGTATTAAAATCATTCAATCTAGTGATAGAATGTATGCATTTTTTTTCTTAGGTGTAAACGGTTTAAAAGTCAACTTAAGGTCAGATTTTCACTAACAGAATTGTTCTTAGCTAATTAGTCACTGAAAAACCAAAGATAAACTTCACTCTTTCATATTATCATTCATTGTAAATACACACTGCCCATGACCATGAATTGTATTTTTCAGGGGTGGATTTTGATCGATAGTTATAAGAGTAGCGTATCGTTAACCTGTAAGTGATGATTATCAATGCAAATCACTGTGTCAGCAATGTTTTTTAAACAGTATAAAATATCAGATTATTGAATGCAGGTAAAATATATTTCTAAGCATAAAAAAAGCAAATATACAAAGGTATGAATATACTAATTTTGCATTGCATGGATATCTATTCTGTAAACGGATAACTGTTGTTTTCATTCATACAATTCTGTTTTCACTTATTCTAATCTATACTAATCTTGATATTACACATTGAAATGTGTACAAATAATAAGGTATAAATTATAAATTATTATACATCTCAACCTATATTGATACCTATGGTCTACACCAATACAATTTCACAGGTTGGTCGTGTAGACTTTTTAACGGCTCATAAACTTGGCATAGACGAAATAATTTTTGAAAGGCATAATTTAAATGTAATTTATTCACTCAACAGATATTGAATGAATTTCGGCATATTCTCACAATAATGCCATTCACGTCATACTCTATAAGTATGTCTAATACGTGATGATAGTAATGTCGTGTTCCAGTGATACGAAAAATCAATGGTATTTCATTTCATTAGAAAAAGTTTCTGTATATTGTCATTCATAAACAGTGAATACATCTAGTCGTGACAGTGTCTACGACCGAAACCTTACCATTATCAGTTTTTATCAGTCATAGAATTCTGATACTAAACTATTGTTATCTGGTTTCGAATATCAGATGTCAAATTATTTTTATAAAATAAATTGTTACTGTCTCAAAGCTGTCAAGTAGAAACGGATTGCGGTACTTAAACTGTCATACTAGATGTTAAAAATCAACAGTCATTAGTCGCATTCAAACAATAATTACTACAAATATGATTATTAAAACGAAATTTTATCATGAATCGACTTAAAATAGTAAATCAAAAATTAGTGATAACAATTTATAGATGAATGAGATATTTTATATTCCTATTTTTTAAGGATTGAGAGTGATGATTGTAAATTGTATTTTTTTCATGATTTCAACTTCAATGTTCGTTTGTGTTAATTTCATTCCTCAGTGGATTAAAATTCACGATAAAAGAAGACTATTTCCTAATTGTAAATAAATTTCATACACGATCAATGAAGTTAAATATTTCTGCTGTATTTAATTACTTACTTACTTACCTATTGACGCCTGTTTCACCTAATGGAGCCCAAGCTGTTGGCCAACATTCTCCAAACTACTCTGTGCTACGCGTCTCTTTCCATTCCTGTCCAATTTTTGTTGATTCTTTTCATGTCTGTCTCCAGTTCTCAGCGTACTGTCTTTTTTGCTCTTCCTCTTTTCATTTGGCGTTGAGTGCTCATAGTTAGGGCTTGTCTCTCGAGACACTTGGGTGCTTTCGCCAATGTGTGTCCTATCCACCTTCACCTGTGTTTATCCAAGTTTCCGCCCCATACAGTAGAACTGTCTTTACGTTTTTATTGAAAGTTGTGACTTTGGTGTTGGTTGATAGTTTCTCAGTGTCCGAGATGTTCTTTGAACTTAGAAATGCTGTGCTGATTTCGCTAATCAATGTCTCTTCATTGGGACTAGATTCACCATGTTTGTTGACGATGTTGCCCAAATACGTAAAGGTTTCTGTATCTTTCAATGCCTGTCTGTCAAGTGTGATGTGGTTGGTGCATGGTATGCTGCATCAGAAGATGTGTTTTTTTCGTTTGTGTACGTTGAGACCTTATGTTGCAGATGTTGCTGCTACATTGTCCGTCTTCATCGGCACTTGATGTTGTGTCTGAGATAGGGATGCTGGATGATCTACCAGGTCCATGCCGTCCAGTTGCATCCGGTCTTGTCACTGTATTCCGTGCTTCCCCTCAGATGTTGACATCTTCATGATCCAGTCGCTCACCAGTAGAATGATTGACACTAAGAAACCTTACTTGACGATGGTCTTCTTCTCTATGTAGTGAAAATTAAATGTTTTTGTATCGACAATATTTCATGTTATATTTACTTGATAAGTCTCTTATATTGAAACTGATAATTAGGTTTAAATATACTTTTATTGACGTAACTGATTGTTTACTTATCAGTAATAAGAATTTAATGAAGAAAATATTTGTTTTCTACACAATGTTTTAATAGCACAACATCAATACGATGAAACTATGTATGGTTAATTGGTTTCAATGAAAATCTTATCACTTGAATTACTTATATCTATGCATAGAGTGAATCGATCTCTATTAGTTAGTTATCATTTATATCATAGAATATGTAATTCAGTGGGATTAAATGTTGCCAAGTTTTATTGGGCTTCATTAATAAAGGTGCATATGATTAACTTCTCGATTGCAATAATAAATCGTGCTAACTAACGTTCTCTGGAATGAAATCTCGAGATTATTGTTAGTATTATTCTCATTAAGACTACATTGAATCTAGTGAATGTTACTGAATTGTAGCCTCATCTAGTTTAACGACCACATAAACTTCATGATCATTTTGCTTAGGATTTTCGCTTTCCCAAATTCAAACACATCAGAATTCGAAAACATGATTAGATTATGGATTCAATTGTTACTTCATCATTACCATAGATTAGTTGATTGAACATTTAATTGATAGAATATTCTTTTAATTATCTGTTACACAGAAGCTTCCTTAATAAAACACAAAGCTAAGTTCTTTGATTTTGTAGAATTCGAACATTATGTTTGTCAAATTTATTGTATATTCTGTCCGATTTTCAGGTTGTTGTTTTATTGTATCAACTACTCGTCAAACGGTTCCTAATGCTTGATATTTTGTTTATGTGTTACAATGATTGATGTGAATTTGTGCTTTCTTTAACAAATGTTTAGCTTTATTATTTCACGTGATTTTCAGTCTAAGTTTATTCTGATTCAAATGAAATTGTTCATATATGCTTCACTCCTCTTTTTAATTCACGTTACATAGAATTCGATGTTAAACCAAGTAATCCAGATGAAATGGATCGTAATAGTAATCAGTTAAACATGACATTAGGCTATTCATCGAATGATCAAAACGCCATCGGGGATGGTAGTCATAATTTGACCAATGGAAAAGTTAATGTATCATCCCCTCCCAACCTGTCTACAATTGGTGAAGTGAGTAGCCTCATTCAGTATTTATCTCGTTTCGTCATTTTGATAGGTATATTTTTTTCATGAAATTACTTGATAGTTTTGAATAGTTTCCACTTATCAATCAGTAAATTACAACCAATGTAGAAACTAGCACTAGTACAACTCCGCTTTGAGCTCCTCTGAGGTTTCTGCGGGTCCCAAGCCCGGATGAAGGAGTAGAATAGTGCAAGGCATTGGTAACCTGATCCCGTAGAAAACTAACTCGCTAAAAAGACGCCAACCAGAAAAAATGATTCAAACCATTTTGACTCTGTCGTGACAGTAAGAAGATTTTCATTCAGAAGAGTTATGATGTCTCACGATGAAAGCTGAGTTCCTTCGAAATTTACGAGGTCGATGCCTCTTCCGACAATCAGAGCAACCATTCTCCTAGGTGCATTGAACGTTCGAACATTGTGGGAGACCGGAAGACTGTTCTCGATTGCTGCAGAGATGAAAAGATACAACCTGGAGCTGCTTGGAATTAGTGAATCACATGGGACACAGTTTAGACAACTTCGACTAAATGGTGGATATCTGCTGTTATACTCAATCATTACACCATTTGGGCCAACAGGTGTAAGGAAGTAAGATTATCCAACGGAGTTGGTTCATTTTAGTTTGTGCAGTCATAGATTTTCATGATAGCACATATTCTTACAAGGCTGTGTATTCCAGTACCTGTAGTTGACTCTTTATTGATTGGACTGTATGTCTGACTGACTGACTGACTGAACGTGAATGAAATTGTTGAAGTATATATCATGCATCTAGTTTCGTCAACTAACTGCGTTAATAGGATGTATTTGGGACATTGAAGACAGAAGTGATTGCAAAAGCTCACTCATAGTATAATGGGTGGCTTAGTCTATATATATATATAGTAAAAATACATGAATCACAAACACCAATCATCATAGTTGGGATGATGGACACATATAAAGCAAGTACTCAGATAAATGTTTCAAGTTCACAAAGTATCATCCACAAAAGCACATATATTGAAAATATGCAAAGTGTAATACAAACAACTGAGTGCTATATGGTTAGTGATGTTACATTTGAACATACAGAGGTTAGTTAAAGGTCACACAATAGTTCGTATTCAGTCTGTCATATTATTTCACAATACTACATATACAATTAGTTGTGGATCGTTACAGTATGCATTAAATCACACACACAATACTATAAATTGATTTACAGCTATTTGATTGATCTTGTATTAATTATTTCCCTCCTCGTTTAAATATCATCTATGATAAACGAAAATTCGCGCGACCTCGTTCACTGTGCTTCTTCATATGCTCACTCATCGACAGTGCGTATCTACGACTCCTGCTACTCTCATGATTCGAACCAGGGACTATCGGTCTTGTGCGCGAACGCTTAACCTCTTGACCACTAAATTGGCATCTAACGGTGTTGTTGTCTCACTTCAATCAATCTGCGGTCTTGCGCAACGTCATTCACTGTCTTCATGTGCTCACTTGTGACCAGGTGTGTGAGGACATTTCTTGGTTTCCGAGTGAGAAGTCGTAACCAGTGGAGTTGAGTCCTGTTCGGGTATGAAGCAGTGCTCATCAAATATAGTGGATGTGGTCACGCAAGACTGTAGATTGATCGAAGATAGACAATAGCACCGTCACATGGCAGCTCAGTGATGCGGAGTTTAAACGTTGTCGTGCCATGCCGAAGATGCTTGATTGGAATCCTGCGAGTAGTAGTAGTGATGGATGCGCACTGCTGATGAGACCCATACCAGGACGAATCAGCCATCCAGTGCTCACAGGATTCTAATAATTGTCTAAAATTGATTGATTCGAGATAGTAATGCGTCTGGTGAATTCCTAAATCTTTATCAAACTAACGATAAAAATAAACGTGGATAATTCCTCTTGACACTTTGTATCCACTAGTAAATTCTACATGACAGACAGCAAATAAATTAACAATGAAGATAAATTGACCTGACTTATTCTACCGATTAATTTGCAAATATCGTTTGTTTAAAAAGAATAAAAAATACTAGTGTGTATATTTTCACTTGTCACATGTAGATTGCATTGTGAATAAATTGTTTTTTTTTGTGTTGATTCCACGGAATAACAGGAACCAGATCATAGCGATTTAATTAAAGATCGTCCAGCCGAAGCTCAAGTATTTTCATCTTTGCAAATTATAACAGCTGTTTTCGGATCATTTGCTCATGGTGGCAACGATGTAAGGTATGTATGTTTCACATATACTTTATACAATTATTTACTGCAAATTCCAACAGTGTTAACTAGAATTATATGTATAAATATACTACTCATTACATATATTCAAAATTTGGAAAAAAATCATTTCTACTAAAATCATTGGTATAGAAAATAATTTCAAATTTCCACAATCAATAATTATCACCTATATAAATGGAGTAGATTCAGTCAGTCAGTCAGTTGCAACGTAGAACTTCGTACGTATGTACATAAGTTCATGTTGCCATACCACATTATTAGCACAGAGACGCAAATGTCAAATCAAATCCCATGGTGATAAAGATGGTAGAGGTATTAATGTTATAATAAAGAAGACTAGGGTTTAAGATATTATTCAAAAAATATAATTCAGTGAGATAAGGTTAGAAAGACAAAGGTAGAGGTGCTGGCTAATCCAGAACATTAGGATTTGAGAGAGCTCAAAGAGTGGATGCACCTGCGCCATTGCAAACGATTTTGAGCCATGTCGTTCAAGGTCTCTAACCATTGATGACTTTCGTCTCGCGGACCCCAACCAGGTAGTCTACATCTACCAACATGACTCAGTCCACTTGTCAGGGACTTCATGGATTTCTGCCATGTTTTGGTCTGGCCGCCCCTAACTTTCTTCCAACCTACTCCTACACCACAAAACATAGCTCGTCGAGGCAGTCGGTGGTTAGGCATACGTAACACATGTCCCAACCACCTCAACTGATGAAGTTTCAACACTTCATCGATTGATCTGCCATCCTTACCTAGTACTCGTTTCCTAACGACAGCATTGCTTACTCGGCTGTCCCACGATATACGAGCAATGCTTCTTAAACATCTATGATCGAATACTAGTAACCTACGAACATCTTCTACTCTTAACGGCCATGTTTCACAGCCATATAAGAGAACGGAACGAACTGCTGCGCAGTACACCCGCCCTTTGGTTAGCGAACGGATATCACGCCTACGCCATAAGTGACGCAGGTTGGCAAAAGCCAATCGAGCTTTCTGTATCCGAGCTGAGATTTCGTCAGTCACCAGACCGTCAGCACTGATGAGACTCCCCAGATAAGTGAAGTGATCTACACGCTCGACTACTTCACTCCCTATCACTAGTTCAGGTGCCGAAGCAACCCAGTCTTGAAGCAACATTTCGCATTTCGAGGGGGAAAACCGCATCCCGAACATGCTCGCATTGTTGCTTATGGTAGTCAGAAGACTCTGCATTTTGTCAGCGTCTTCACCGAATAGAACTATGTCATCGGCATATTCTAGATCAGTAAGCGACTTTCCTGGTAGGAGGTCAACCCCTGAAAAATCTGACGAGCTTAATGTTAACTCTAAGAGGATGTCTACAACAAAGTTAAACAAGAATGGAGAAAGTGGGCAGCCCTGACGGACACCACTTGAAGTGAAGAATTCCGATGACAGTTCGCCATATGCTCTCACCCGACCAGTGGTGTTCGAGTAGAGTGCTTGCATAAGGTTAATGTACTTCTTTGGTACACCTTTCAATGACAGACACTGCCACAGAACCTCACGATCCACTGAGTCGAATGCCGCCTTAAGGTCCAGGAACACGACTATTGTCGGACGTCTAAATGTGTGTCTGTGTTCCAGGACCTGTCGTAGTGTGAAGATGTGGTCTATACAACCACGTCCAGGTCGAAAACCAGCCTGGTTTTCTCGAGTCTGCTCTTCGCGAGCCCTAGTTAGACGTCTAAGTATAATCGAGGCTAACAATTTAGAAACTATATTAGTTAAACTTATTCCCCTGTGATTGTCACAAGAGGACTTCTGTCCTTTCTTGTAGATTGTGACAATTAGCGACTGAGACCAGTCAGATGGGATTACGTCCATTTCCCAGATTCTACCTAGGATCTCGGTCAGTTTAACCGTTAAAACTGGATCACCATCCTTAAACATCTCACGGG